GGTTTGAGTTTTACATTCCAAAGATCTGAATGGATTCTGCTGAAAGCCTCTGTAAGGTGGATTTGTATGGCTCTTTCTTTCAACTAAGTTTATTAAGGACTTTGTGGCTTGGCCTCATTTCTGTGTTAGTCTTAGCAAATTAAAGATGGTTTCCTCATGTAGATTTCATTTACTGAATTTAATCTCTTGTGAGGGAGAGTTGTTGAGAAGTTCAGTCAAGAATTCCTTTCTGTCTGCGTATTTTATCTAAAAAAGCACCAGGAGAATTCGTGGGGGTTATTTGTGTAATAGAATTATTGGAATGGGAATAAAGAAATGGGATACTCCTCTCCAGGTTGCCCTTGATAGTACAGGTAAGCTTCACCCTCTTGTCTACAGAACTCTGTGTTTGCTGTTCTATCTATTTAAAGCTGACAAGCTAATTATAAAACAGAGAAAATGGCTTGTAGGTACCAGGGGAGAGAAAATGAGGAAGACTCACCTTAACTGAACACGACCAACAACTCTCTCTTCCCCTCTCTGCTTAACCATTTAAAGAATTTTTTTTTCAAGCTGATCACCTTTCTCCTGTCATTAGAAAGAAACGGCAGCTTTATTCAACTAGTCTTACTTTGTGCTTTTTTTGCAACTGTACTGTTAAAAATGCAAACTCAGATTTTTGCTGAAGTTGCAAGTGCATTGTACTTCCTTGTGGTTTGTTGTGAGAAGTTAATTCACTGAGGTCTCTGGAAAAAAGAAGTCTAAACATTTGATGTGAGTACGTGATCATGCGTTAGGAATGGTTTCTCACTTCTATGCAGTAGGGATATTTGGCTTTTTGATCTCTTTAACCTTAAGATAGGCTGTTATGGTGCTCCACGACCTGTAATAATGGAGTAAAATGTATCCTTGGTGGAGTGTAGAAGCAGAGAGTTTGTAAAGCAGATGCTGAAAGGCATACAGAGCTCTCAGTGCTCTTGGGTTTCGCTTTGTTGGTAATTCAACTTATAAATCCTAAACATAAACCTAAGCATTTCTCAAATACAGGGTTCTCTCCAAACCATTTCTACGGTTTTGCTTTGTTGGTAATTCAACTTATAAATCCTAAACATAAACCTAAGCATTTCTCAAATACAGGGTTCTCTCCAAACCATTTCTGCTCTGAGTGAGGCTATGGTTTTTATTTTGCTTCTTGCCTGTCTTTTGCAGCAAAACCAGCAATATTTTTCCTTCATTTGGTTAAGCCTGTGTGGAAAACACTTTGGTTTCTCCTCTGAAACCAGGTGTGCGGGTTCCTAGTGTGTGTGATGTAGTTGGTCATAACAAAGGTTCTTCATTTCTGGTGCTGTTTTTTGGAGTTTGATGGCTTTATTTTATGTTTAATCAGCTCCTTCAAAAGTGAGGCCAGTGTTGGATGGTCTTTGCTCTTCTCACAGTCTGCCTTGCTGCAAAGCTTGTGACAGTGTCGCTGTGTGGCCTGATCAGCTCACCAATGTGACAGAAAACAAACCAATGCTAAAAAGCTAATTTTCTATGAGATTATAAGTTGATTAGTTTTGCTGTGCTGCTGTGTAATTGCTAGATTTGAGGCGAGAGAGAAAGAGGAAGCGGTTGGAGGGTTGGGAGGCCACTGGGTTTGGTGCTGCCTGACCATGAGCTTGGGATGGCTGAGAAATTGCACCCTCGTTGTCTGTGTGCCTGCTTGTGTTGTGATTGTGATTAATTCTTTGGGTATTTATTTCATTGGCCAAAGTTAGTGTTGTTTAGGACTAGTAGGTGTTCCCACGTACTGTAAAATACACCTTTCCAAATATTATGTGTGGTATTAAACTGATTTTTTTTCAAAAGCTTTATGCAGTTTTAACAAGTAATAAAGCAAACTTCTATTTATTTTTTTCCTTTGCTTGAGGAGATACACGTAGGTGAGGCAATTGCTTGTATTACTTGACTTTGAAAAACATTTCAGTAAAGCCTCTCATCCCTGGCCTTTAAAGAAACAAAATTGTCATAAGAATGTTTTTCGTAGATTTATAGTGGGTTAAAGGACAGGAAACAGGGTTAGGAGTAAATGGTTGGTTCTCACAATGAAGGATTTTACCCAGTGAAGGATCCTGCCAGAGGTCAGTGCTCTTGCAAATACTTCAATTTCCAGATCATTTCTAAATAATAAGGTGGCCAAATTGAACCAAAAAAGTCAAGTTTGAAACGAATCTTGAACTGAAAGGAAGGAAGAAAGATTGAGATCTGCTGAGTGATACAATGGCAGATGAAATGACCTCAATACATTTGCATTGGGAGAAGAAATGACCCTGTTTCATGTGCACGAGTAAAGGCACAACTACCAAAAGGCAAATAGACTTCATAAAGGATTTGATAAAGAATGGGAAACCCAAAGCAGTAAGTGACTATGTTGTGAGATAAACTTTTATTACTGCCAAATCTGAAATGTGAAGTGCTTGGAACTGCATATATCTCAAGAAATAGAAATGTAACAGATGCATGGAAAGACATCAGGGATGATTGGAGATACGGAGCAGCTTCTAATTAGAGGGACTGAATTTCAGAAGAGGAGCCTCGGTTCAAGAGGTTCAAGAGAAGGCCAATTTCTCTGAAATCACGAGTAACATAAAGAAGCTGAAGGTGACTTGCTCTTTGTTAAAAAGCATGCCCTCTGTCTACAGCTCAGGGAATAAATGTCCAAGTTTAAAATAAGCTGAAGTACCTGTTTGTGCAGCGTGGTCACTGCCCCGCTGCCGCGTACTGGCTGAGGGTGAAACTGGAAGTACAAGTGGCTTCACAAAAGGGCTTGGTAGAGACACTGTGCCCGTCACTGGCTGGACACAGGTTGAATCTACGATGTCTAAGCTGCTGGTAATATAAAGCAAGGGAATATAGATGTTCTTTTCTATACTCTTTACATGAGGGTTTATGTCTGAGGATGTTGGGCTTGGTGGACTTCTTATCTAACTGGTTTAGGAGGTTTCGTAGTTCTCATGGTTTTGATTTTTTTCATGGTTTTTACAGCTTTTCTGGTTGGGTGACGTGCTCAGTCCCTATGGGGGGGTTGCATTTTTCTGATCTGGGATCCATATCATCAGTATAGCCGTGTTCATGTTTAGGTTGGCACTTGTTTCCTCTGCTGGCTCTGGTTTTACCAGATAAAGAAGTTGTTGCCTGCAGCCTGCTCTCAGTTCTTTGTGACCATCTTTCTACCAGATGCTGCCACCTCCTTGCATGACTTGTTTCAGCTTTGTCTGTGAACTCCATTATTGAAAAAAGGAAATGATTTAGGTTAAATAAGTAGTGTGTATGTGTTTGGGGGGAGGTTAATTAGTTTTATTGCTGCCCCAGCTTTTGGGACTGATACATTAGAGAGAGACCACAAGGGTGGGTGAGCCAGCAGGTTTGGACAATGTTAACTTTTGGAGAGAAGCAGCACTTGTGAGAACCTGGGAGTATTTATATAGGATCATCCTGTTCAAATTCTGCGTTTATAATGCACAGACCTGTAAATGCCCTGGGAGAAGATTTCTGTTGCTACTAGCCATCTGACAAGACATCAACAATCTTCTACAGCTGGCTTTAAATATTGGGGAAAACACCAGGATGATGCAGTTTACGGAAACTTTAGTGTTGATCTCACTTAAAAGTAGTTTGCCATGATGCCATAGTAGTTTTTTATTCTGCCAAAAATTAACTTTAGCGGAACAAAATAAAATACAGTAACTCATTGGGCCTGTTCTGTAGTAGTTTAACTACAGAATTAACAGAATGGTTTTCTAGGAAGGGTTTATGTCTTTATGCTGAGCGAGTCATAGAGCTGCATGTTGACCGGGTTGACACGTAGTTCTGTTTTCGTTCTAAGTGGCACAGTAGTCATTTGAAGAATGATAATAACGTTAGTCTTGAGATCTGTGCTTTCCTTCTTTCCCCTGTCTTTTGTAAGTGATACTGTTGCTTCTGGGAAGTGTTTGGAGGAATGTTATTAGAGGACATCTTGAACGCACAAGCTGGGGTAACGTGGCAAGTTCCATTATAGAATCGGTGCTTAGTGTTCATGCAACTGGTGAATATCAAAGACTATTCTGTCTTAATGCAATAGCAAAATCTGCCAGTTTACTCAAGTAATGTATTCTAAAGCTTAATAGGCCTCTGTTTACTTGAAACAGTGACCTTAAATAAATAACTGAAACAGCTTTCCCTACAGAGCTTGTCCTTGGGTTTTCTTGCCAGTCGTTTTGGTTTTACGATTCCATTTTCATATAATTAAAAATTCTTCTGTGCTGTGTGAAAGACACACAGAGCAGAAACTGTAGATCTGATGAGTGTTGTCAAATGTACAAAATAAATACATTTGGGAAAAAAAAAATCCCCTCTAATCTGCTTAGCATTAAAGGTCACCTTGAGTTGGAATGTGTCGTTCTGGTGCTTGGTTCTCTTCCCTCGGCCTCAGCTGGATGCAGGGCACTGTTCAAGAGCTCTGCCCTGAAACTGAGCCTGCTTTAAACTCACCTGAAGTTTCAGAAATTGCTTGGTTAATTTTTAGGAAGTTTGCTGCTTCTCTCAGTACACAGATTCCTAGAGCAGTGGTACCAAAAGGCAGTTGTCAACTGCTAAAGGGCAGCTAATGGCTCCAAAATAGGGATTTTCCAATGTAGTTTCACCTCAGCTCTGCAAGCTAGCATTGGAATTCTATAATTAAAAATTCTAGGTAGGTTTTACCTTGTTGGAAACTAAATCCAAAAGTCGTTTCTTGGACTTTGCTTCTGTTTTGCTTGTCAAATTTTGCATTTGCATCAAGGTGAATGTTTCTTTGCTTTGGTCTTGTTCAGCTGTTCAGGTTTTTTAATCTTCAGTGTTTAATATTACTTGTGAGAAGAGCAAGTTGTTTTCCAAATCAGATGTCCTGAAGAAATCCATGGAGAAAATTCATCAGTTAACTCTAGCAAAATGTCTCAAGGGTGTATATAGATTGCTTTCCATGTAGGATTAATTAGAGACGCAACTAACGTGCTTTGTTTTCTTTCCTTACACAGGTTCTGCTTTTCATTTTCTCATGTCGTCCTCTTGAAGAGAGGAAATGATTGCAGTGGAACGTGTTACAAATCAGCCACTGATACGGAGCCTTCGCAGTTCAGAAACGTTCATAGAAGAGCAAATATAGCCCTTTTTTGTTTGTGTTCTGGAATCTGTCTTGTTAAAAAAGGGAAATAAAAATGACGACTTCGTCTATTAGACGGCAGATGAAGAACATTGTGAACAATTATTCAGAGGCCGAAATAAAAGTTCGGGAAGCGACCTCTAATGACCCCTGGGGTCCCTCCAGTTCTTTAATGACTGAAATAGCCGATCTGACTTACAATGTTGTGGCCTTTTCTGAAATTATGAGCATGATCTGGAAACGACTGAATGACCACGGCAAGAACTGGCGACATGTATACAAGGCCCTTACTCTGTTAGATTACCTGATTAAAACTGGTTCCGAGAGAGTGGCACAGCAGTGTAAAGAGAATATTTTTGCTATCCAGACGTTGAAAGATTTTCAGTATATCGATCGAGATGGTAAAGACCAGGGCATCAATGTGAGGGAGAAATCCAAGCAGCTAGTGTCCCTGCTGAAGGATGATGAGCGACTCAAGACAGAGAGGGCCCAAGCCCTGAAGACCAAAGAACGCATGGCTCAGGTGGCCACTGGAGTGGGTAGCAATCAAATCACCTTTGGCCGAGGCTCCAGTCAGCCAAACCTATCCACCAGCTACTCGGAGCAAGAATATGGAAAGTCTGGAGGATCCCCAGCATCTTACCATGGCTGTAAGTACAAGCAAGCATACATAAAAGAAGTTTGGTTTTTTTCCCTTTTCTTTTGAGAAATTGTGGTTTTCTGATTTGCCATCGGGCATGAGAGTAAATGGTGCCTGTTAGGAGGATTAATACACTGACTGCAAGGGGCTTTTTGCAGTGGCTGGCTCTTTATAGGTCTGGTCGGTGGCACTAATGTCTTCAAATGACTGGTTAAATGTTTATTTTGTAGAGAATGTGTGTGTTGACGTAAATCAATTTAAGAAGCAGTTGTTTACTGTCAATTCCCAAAGGTAGCATTGTCAAGCTGCTTTTGTGAATGTGTTCCAGTGTTTGATGTGATAGGCCCCTAGTCTCAGTAGGGAGATTGTTAATGGATTTTTTTGGTTTGTTTCTAGTTTTAAAAGGATTGCTTGAAAAATTTGTTATGTTGAGGGTCTTTTTGTTAAGCATAATTCAATAAAAAAAAAGAATATTTTCTGGATCACTTTGCTAGATGTTTTCATTATGTTGCTGCTATTTTATTTTAGGAAGAACATTGGTGTTTGATTTCCTTTGTTGCTTGCTCAGCAGTTCTTGGAGGAGTAACTCTTTGAATATATATCAGTGTTTAAATATTTAAACTATCGGCATTTGGTATGCAAGTATCAGTACTAAATACTATATTTCATTCTTAAAATACAGTGATGCGGGAAGAATGGATTCTTTATACCACTGCTTGGGGGAACTCCCTGTCATGTTAGGAAGAGGCCTGATTTGGCACTAAATCCTTCTTAATATAAGTAATGATCTGATGAAAGCTGCTTTGGCTGGAATGTCGGTGGTTGTGGTCTAATTCTGAAGGAAAATCTTTTCTTTAAATGAATACTTATAGTGTGTGGAGGACTGTAGCTGAGCCAGTGTGGTGAATCGATTGAACACCAGTTTTTAGGAATCTTAAGTTTGTCATGTCCTGTGTCCCAAAGTGCTTCTCAAATTATAAATACGTGAATGGTGTCAGTACCCCTGACAAGTACAGACGTTTTCTGTGGAAGGCAGTAGGAGGCAGCAGGAAAATTGAAGCTGGGATAGAGAAAATCTCTCTATATATAAAGCTTTGGAGAAGAGTAGGAAAAATTATTTTTTTCAAACAGAAATTTTTTTAGGATGCGGGCTTCAGAAACAGTGCATGAAGGTTTCCAGGTATGAGAGTTTTTATTTTGTCTCTTAATTAGCAGTGGAATAACAAATGTCTTAGTTTTCTGTAATAACCATATTTGAGCATTGATTCAGGGTGACTTTCTAAATATATAAAGCTTTGGAGAAGAGTAGGAAAAATTATTTTTTTCAAACAGAAATTTTTTTAGGATGCGGGCTTCAGAAACAGTGCATGAAGGTTTCCAGGTATGAGAGTTTTTATTTTGTCTCTTAATTAGCAGTGGAATAACAAATGTCTTAGTTTTCTAATTTGAGCATTGATTCAGGGTGACTTTCTAAAGAAGAACATGTATGTTGTTATCACAACAATAATTTTTTTTTTGAGGTATGTAGACCTCTGTCAACTACAACAAAAGTTCCTAATTTAAGAGAGAGCTTGAAATATTGTTGTTTTTAACTTATGCTGATGGATTGAAATAGTAGTCACTAAGGTATGCTGAGCACACCTTTGGTTTGTTCCACAGGGTTATTTCTTCATCAGCGCTAAACTTTAATTAGAGCATGTAACTATTGTTTGTCATTTTAAATGCTACCAGAGGCTTCAAGCTATTCCTCACAGCGAGGATTGAGCAATGCAGGGTGTGTTTTGAGTTTCTGAATTGGTGTTCCTTGGACATTTTAAGAATTTTGATGAGGGACTAGATATCAAGAAGCAAGTTTGGTTTTTCTTTCGGTACAAAGTGTTGATTTACTGCATCCTCCCATTTGCCTGCATATGACTTTGCTGTGTATTCCTATTTGCAGGATTATTTTTGAAGTAATGATTTCTTAATCTTTTTTTTTTTCTTTCTCCTTCCCCCTAAGCATGTATCTAAGAAGCTTTAAAAATCTCAGACTTTTTTTTTTTCTTGTTTAGGTTCTTCCTCTGTTGTAGACTCTACTGGACTTAAAGTTCTATCAGCAAAAATACAGATAGCTGTTAGTTTTTATGATCTGTATCTTCTGAAGTTTCAATATGTTTTTTATATGGCTTAATAGAGTATAGCAAAGGAAACCAGCACCTTTCAGAACAGCTGTGCTAAGTGCTTCCGATAATGGAAAACTTTCTGTAGAGCTTTGTCCTTTATCCTAGGAAACGAGGAAGGAGTTTCGTCAAAATCCAGACATTTAATCTGTTACATAAATGTAGGGTTATTCTTGTGCCTTCTAAATTTAATAGAAAAGATGCTTTTCATTATTTAAAGTGAAAGAGATTGTATCCATCATGTTTTCTGTTATTCTCTTAATGTTGCCCTTCTTTTGTTCTGAAAATGTGGATTCAGTGAAATATGTAAAAGGAATTAAGTTATGCTGAGCTCCTGGGAAATACTCTCCTTATAACAGTTTTAAGATGCTGTAGTGTATATTCTGGTAGAATTGTCTTTCATTCCTCTGAGCCTTTGAAGAGGAGATCAGAGGCATTTTGATTTGCAATCTATAGCATGAGATTTGCCTATTAAAAATGTACATCTACCTTCTTGGCTAAATATTTAGCATGTCTTATTAACATTCAAATCTAAATAAAGTTTGAGAGAGTGTGACAGCCTTTTACCAACACAGCGAAACGAAATGTTTCATCTCTCAGTGTTTTGGTATTAGCAGATTTTACTTCTCCTTGCTCTGTGCGATGGGTGGGGATTGCAGATTTTGCGATTTCTTGGCTGAATGCCTTCCCCTTACTTGAAAAGATTTGTTTGGCTGTAAAATCTCCTCATTTTTAATACTTTCTTGTGGAATAAAAGAAGCCTGAGCTGGCTGAAAGAGCTTAATAGTTTCTCCAGGACAGATCACTAGGGGAACAAGTAACTTCCAGTGGATAATGTGTCGGGATTGTGTGTGGGGGATCTCTTCCCCCTTCTGTCAGTTACTGAAAGTGCAATATTGAGTAAGTCAGGACCCTTTTTTGTTGAGTTTCTTCAGAATGTTGAATTAGCTGCACTGTACAGCATTGACTGTAAACACTGCAATGCTCAAACTACTGCTCTTTAGCTTCTTAAGCATATGTGTAGGCTTGTGTCTGAGAGCACATGTAAGAATTGGGTTTTGTATTTGATGTTGAGCCAGAAAGGCTTTTCTTGTAGAGTTGCTGGTCTTTGTGTCCTACACTTATCCCTTATGAAAAAATAAAAGCAGTATTGATAGTCTGTATAGAGTGAGAGAATTCAAGATGGAGAAGGATCTCTTGACTGTTGTGCCATGGTCCCTCGCTGCTGCAGACAAGGCACACTGGCAAATAAGGACATTTTCCCCATTTCCTTGCAGATATTTTCATCTCGTCTCCAACAGTCCTTTAGAAACTGTGGAAAGTGTAATGGTGAAGCATGATAGTTTTTAATAAAATCCTTTCCCCCAAAGCTTTGCCTTAATGACTCTGTTGGGCCTGAAGATCTCTGTGCTGTAAAGCTTGTATAATTCTAGAGAGTGCATTATGGCATGTGAATGTTACTGACTGTTGACTCAAACATTTGTAAAAGTATTAGTGTGTTTTTACTATCTAGTCTCATAATCTGTAAATGGAAGCCGAGAGAGACATTGTAAAGCTAAAAGCAAAAATAAAGCTCCTCCCAACCTCCAGCTTGTAGCAATTTCTGACATACTGGGGACAGCTGGCTATTTTCCAGCCTAAACCTGGGGGTAGTGAATGTTCAGGTTAGGAGCTAATAAATATTCCATGACAAAATACATAAAAGTTTTTATTTATTTTGGGGAATGTGTAAATTGTATGGAGTTGCAGGAAATCTGGTAGGTTTTATTTCACGCTAAGGAAATGTTCTTGTGGTGGTGCTGGAACTTAAACCTACTGGGGAGAGGAAGGAATATAAGATTAATATTTGAAATATTTTGGAGCAGTAGTTTCCCACCTCTAATCTGGTTTTGTGTCTAAATACTGTCGCTGGACAACAGTCACACAGTTTTGAAAATTAGGCCTCTTATTGCTCGCCTTGTTTCATCTACAGCTGCCAATGACCACTTAAATAGGATTCTGGATTTATGGTCGCATGGGGAAAAGTAGGGTGTTCTTAATATAGACCTCTTAAGTCTGAACTGTGATTCTGTTTCAAGCCTGGGAGTGCATTTCTTAGAGTTACTGGTCTTGATAAAGTCCTTTATTGAGGAAATATCTTTTTAAAGTATTCTTTTAGTGGAGGTTTACACAGGAATATTACTCAGTTGCTGCGCTGGAGCCATCAGCATGTCAGGAGCGTAACCCACAGTCACTGCTGTGGGCCAGACAGTTTCAGGTACTTGCAAAACACTTTGCTCAAGCACCTTGGGCCTGTGGAAGCTCTTAGGAGTCAGGGCAGGAGTGTAGGAACTTGACTTACCTTATTCTTTCTGAGCTGTCCTGGGGACAGGTCAGTTGTGCTGCCTTCAGCAGACCTGTCCAGGCTTGTCACAGTTGAGCCGTGGCCGCTCAGAAGGCAGGCAGGGAGGTCTGCTGCAGCTCCTTATGGCTGCAGGAGTCAGAAAAATGATGGAAAAATCCTCAACCTGGAGGGAAGTGACTGATCCAGCCAATTCTTTGACACCCCTACTCCCAGCAGATACTATGTTTGAATGTTTCAACTTTAAAGGACCCCAGGAAAATACAATTCCTCTCCCTGCACTACCTTCATGTTTTCAAACCAAATTTATTGAAGCCTCATTTTTTAAAGAGATCCAATCCTAATATGCTTAAACCAGGACCTACCTATGCTATTTCAGGTTGTGCACGTGGCCTTTCCTTTGGCCATCTGCTGCTTTGGGTTTGGGTTACACTTAGAAATGTTGGCAGAGCCAGACTGGTGTGTGTTTTAATGCCCTGATTTCATTTACACAAACTCAGCAGAGTAGGG